ATACCAAAAGCTATAGCTAATGGTAAAGCACAAAATCATTTCTTAACAAGTCACTAAACAAGTGTCATGTTCGACCATGACTTTGACTCCTGCCACCCCAGCCCCTCGTGGGCCTTGCCATAGGCAGGATATTAGTATTATTCAATAATCTCCCTCCCAACACCTGCTTCATGTAACATGTTGCTCCTGGAATCGAACCCATGACCTTACATCTGATACCATTTGTTAGGATCAAATGCTCATGTCAAAAGTTATTGGGTTCACGTGAACCCTTACCTGTTGCACTAAATCCGCCCTTGCAAGTAAGCGTCATGTTTGGCCATGACTCTGATTTGGGCCACCCTAGCCGCTCCGCGGGCCTTTCCATAAACAGGATATTGGCGTTACCCAATAGCGTCCACATGAGTGTTCATGCAAAGATTCAACTTTCACTCACCTCTTTGTTATGTATAACACACATACGTGTCATGTAGCCAAACAGATGTGTATTAGACACCATTGGAGAAATGTTTGGTGTGTTAAACAATTTCCGTGAATTAGAGGTGTGTCAAAAGGATTTCAGTACAACATGGGCAAAGTATGTATATTATGCCAACTAATTTTTATCAGATTAAAGTCACTAAGCTATACCAACTATAGCGATAAAGTAACGAAACCTTACCTACTATAATTTTGTGACTTTATTGTCCTAGTGAGTATAAATTAGATATTCTAATGTGACAAAAAATAATTTTGTATTTTACTTTTATAATGGATAAAATTAGGTTACATTAAAGTGATTCAAATAATTATCTGATTTTACTATGATGATTAATGAGTAAAATTCAGTGTAAAACTCACCCTGTTTGGTTTGGTTGATGCTTGAGCTTAGAATATGCAACTAATCTCCGTATACAGACCCCATTGCCACCAACTTATCAAGCTTCCATATATATTTTTCCCAAATCCATTTAAGGAGAGTAATTAACTACATGACCTGTACTTTTCTGAACTTTATCACATTCTGAATTTCTCGAATCATATTATGTAGATTTATAGGTAATGGAGAAATGCATGTCAATGACGTAGAGGGAGGAAATACCTGCAAAATTGCTAGCTTATTAATTTCCTATGTTTTTTATAGGATGGTGAATCAGCGTGAAATTTATGAATCATACTTCTGGTTTGGTGCACTATGCATGGTCCTATATCTACCCATCATACCACACGCTTTCTGGTGTCGTTTAAGATTTTAGTACGTTCATTAAAAAATATTAAATGTAATATATAGTTTATTAATTAATCTTATTTATTTTTTGACTATTATATGTTACTATTGGAGTATATTATAACCACTTTTACCTCTTTAATAAAGCTACCGTTATTTTGAGATCATTTTTTGAGTTAAAACGACTCTACTTATTTATTTCCCATTTTTTGACATTCATCAGTTTTCTCTTGCTAGTTGAAGGTAAACTAAAGTTCACTAGCTCGTTTATTCATATTGGACCATTTGTTTATTTATATTCACATATAACTCTAAGCTTAGATAGATTCACTAATTTCTAGGAAGGCTTCAAGCTTAAGAAAGTGGGGTCAGAATAATGAATCAGTTGGTCAAATACCAAATAACATGTCATAATCCAACTCAAAAACCACTTTCAAACGAATTTCAGTTATTACTGGGTCGAAAAGATTTTGGTAAAAGTAAAATGTCTCTTTGTTTATTTTTCTTTTTAAAATTTGTTTTTCGTTAGAGATTGGAAATTTATTGCCTATTACTCCCTCCGTCTTGTGTCATATTTTTCTTTTACACGTCCCTTAAAAAATATTAATTAGAAAAGGGAAGGAGTGTTCTACCCTTATTTATGTCTTAAGATATAATCTCTTTTCATTGGATATTTATTCTATTTATGTGTTATCTCTATCTTCAAGAACAATTATTACTAAGGTAAGAAGGGAAAAAGAATAATCAATTTTGTCTTGAACTTCTAAAATGACAAATAATTTGAGACAACTATTTTTAGTAACCACGACTGTAATATAAGACGGAGGGAGTAGTTTAGAGCTTCAAAAAGTAATTACAAATTAATTTGTCGGGCTGCAATCTTCTCGTCACTTCTAGCTTCAATGGTCCCTTGTTTTTTTTAATAAATATAACTCACCCACCCAACGATACAAATTTTGACAAGTTGGGAGGGTATATAAAATTATGCTACTTTTGACACCTATATTTAAATTGGTAAACTTGTATTAGATCTTCAATTAGAATGGATATGTTTGAAGTTTTACAAAGCTTTGAAAAATAACTTCAAATTATTTGAAATTTATGGAGCTCTTGGTTTGGAATCTTTTAATACGTTCAGCTAATTTGATCTTTAGCTCAGATACATAGTAATTAATACACTGCATCCCATATCCCCAACTTTGTTCATTCACTGATTTCCCAATACATTGTTGTTTTATCACTAAGAGACATGTAATAGGATCTACAACTAAGAGACAATAAATTACTTATCCGATTTTAATTGTTCAAAATTCATCATAAAGTATCATAACTCAAAAATATCTACATGCAATTATAACCTACCGATTATTTCAATATATAATGCTAATGATGATTAACGTTGTCGGAATTAATCTTACAAAAGATTATTGAAATGTGATTATAATGAGATTGTTTCAATTCAATCTCGACATCCCAAAATAGGTATATATCGAACACCGAATGCGAAACAAAATAACGAAATTATTTTAATTCAAACTCTAAAATGGCTTTATCAGTATTACATTTTCCGCATCAAATAATCAAGTAACAGAACATTGATTCTCATGCAGTGGTTATTTATGTAATTAGTTCATTCATTAGTCAATTTTCTTGTCGTGTGTTATGATGAATTCATGATTAGTTGTTTGAAAACTTAGTAATTTATTTAGATCCGAAAGTTTACCAAATTATGGTCATACAGTTACTAATTTAAAAATTGCCTGTTTAATTAACTGGACGAAAACTTATTAGTACTAAATATTCTCCATTAATCCGAACTCTCACCATATCCATATAAAAATTAATAAACCAAAAGCAACATCTCTACCAAGGAAACAGGATTAGTTAAAAAGCAAAGGTGAAAGTTCTGAGATCTAAAGATGTAGTTCAAAGTTCAAACCCCATCAAACTTACATCAATTCATGCTATGTAAACACGAAAAGTTTGTCCTCTTTATTAAAGTGACAGATTTTCGGCAAACAAAAGAAATGAACAATAACTTGTTGTTTGACCTAGCTATCAAAAAATATTACTTATACTACTTAGAAATTTCAAATTATTTTATAATTTAATAACAAATTCTCAAATTCCCTAAATAATTCCTAGAAGTTTGAAAATTACATGCCAGTGCAAAACTTTATTGATAATAAGATTTTCATATGTATGAAATAATTAACTTCCTGTTTGGCCATGAAATTTGAGAGGTTTTTTTCAAATTTGTTTTCAAATATCTATTATAAATGTTTGTTTGTAGATATTAATCCTTTTTTCGCAGATTTTGAAAATAAAATCTTCAAATCCCAAAAACATCTCTACAGTAGTTTTTGAAGTTTTCTACTCGCAAAATTTCAAATTCTTTTCAAGTAAAATGCATGTCCAAATACAATTTTAACTTTCAAAAATTATTTTTTATTTTATTTTCAAAAACTCATTGTTTAAGTTTTAACTAAATTTATGTCCAAATGCGAGCTAAATCTTAATTCATACTAGTAATTTATTAAATACTACTAGTACCATTTTTAATTTTTTGTTGGGTAGATAAAAGTAGTACTTAGTACTCCCTCAGTTTCAAATTACATGAGGTACTTTTCAACTTTAAACTTTTTTATTTTATCTTAAAAATAATTCAACTTTAAACTTTTTATTTTACCCATAAGAAGCTTTTAAAATAACATAAATATCATGACCCCATAATTACTCATAAGCTTTTAATGCCACAAATTTTAAATTTTTTTTCCTTAAATTTCGTATCAAGTCAAACTAGCTCATTTTAAACAGTGAAAATAGTAATAAGGAAGTCAAAAAAGGGAAGAAGTGAGACACGCGCCGAGAAGCGCGCTAACTGAAGGAGTCAGAAATCCAGCGCGGGGCGGACATCTCGAACACTGTTTAGGAAAATAGGGAAACCTCAACCCCCAAAATTTCTCTCTCTCAAAAGAGTGGGCCCCCATTTCTCCCCTACTCTATGGAGCTGTAGCCGTACATAGCCACTACTACTACTTCTCCACACACACTGTATTTATTTTCTCTTTTCTTTTACTGTTCTTATCTAAAGTTTCAGTAATTTTCTTTTAGATATTGGATTAGTTGAGTGAACTGGAGGAAGAATTACATGCAGTAGAAGCTCCGTATATTATTGTTTTTTTTATAATATTGAAGGGAATATCGAGACGTGGAACAAATTAAACAATTCTATTGACTAGCGTGCTATACTGTAAGTCAGCTCTTAATCTGCTAAGCGCCATTTTCATTGAATTTAATTCTTGTGCATTTATTTTTTAAACTCCATTAATTTAATCAACTCTCTCTCTTAACCTTTCTACGGGGATCCCAACATGAGCATCTGGAGTTATGGACTCTTGGTTAAGAGAGAGAAACAACTGTGTGTCTGTGTGTATTGTGCGTGTGGATTTTCAATAGGTCCACACAGAATCTGAAGCTTTTGTATTTACTTTACATTATATTCTAAAGTGTTTTTTAACTTTTAGCGTATGAGAAAGTTGATCAATTTAAAAGGTTATACCCTTTTTTTGGATTTTTTATCCGTACAAAAGGCTTTTTTGGTTCGTGATCTAAGAATTACAGAACGAAGAAAGGAGAAAAAAAGGGGGGGTGGGTTTCTGGAGAGTCAAACACAACAGGGTCTTTTCTTCTGATTTTGTTGCTTTCTGCAGTTTTATTTTGTAAGGTATTGAAAAGTCCACTTTTTTTTTTTTTTTTCATTACTATATAATTTTTTTTCCCTTAGGTCCTCTTTTTAAAACCTTTCGTTTTCCTCTTTATGAGACTGCTTCACTGTTCACAATGACAGCTATAAGTGGTCAAAACCCATATCTTTGATTGAATGAAATACTAGGGTTTCCCTTTTTTATTTCGGCCACCCCATCTCTCACATTTGCTCTCAAAGAGAGAGAATAGTAGTAGAAGTAAAGGGAAGGTGCAATAAGGGTTCTTGGTTGTCCTATACCAACCCCTTTTGGTTGTTCTTAAATTTTGTGGGTTTGGGTTGGTGGAGTTATGTTCATTACTTTTTATTGGGCTTAAGGCGGTTGCAAACTTTGGAGTTAAAATCTTATACAAATACTGAATATTACTACAGTCTATGAAAATACTTTACTTGGGGTCTAAAAGTATATATAAATATGAAAAGTTGAGATCTTGAGAAACATAGTAGTATGAGTATTACCATTTCAATAACCATTTAGATAGAAAAGAGTGGCTTGTGTAACAGAAAGTTTTGAGTCTTTTTATATTTGGTAACAAAAGAGGGGGTTTCATTTTGTGGTTATTGGCTAAGTTTTGATGAGTTTTGGAGGCTTCATTGGGAGTAGTAGTGGTGGAAACAGCGGCGGCGACGGTGGTTCTGGGGTATCAAGAGTGGTGGCTGATAGTCCATACAACAACACCATGCCCACTGCTGCTACCATTGCTCATCAATCACAACAACTTGTCACATCACCTTTAACTCAGCCTATGTTTAACTCTTCTCCACTCTCTCTTGCTCTTGTAGGCCTCCCCTTATAAATGATTTCTTTTTTTGCTTGCTCTTTGTGTTCTTGTTACTTGGGTTTTTAGTTGAATTGATATAATCTTGATTTATTTTGCAGAAACCTAAGATGGAAGGTATAGGTGACATGGGTTTGATAGGGGAAAATTTTGATGCTGTTGCAATGGGAAGGTCCTCTAGAGAGGATGAATACGAGAGCAGGTCCGGCAGTGATAACTTAGATGGTGGTGCATCGGGTGATGACCAGGACACTCCTCTTGGTAAATCATCCAGAAAAAAGAAATATCATAGGCACACCCCATACCAAATCCAAGAACTTGAAGCGTATGTATTTTGCCACTCTTATTGTATCTTCTTATTAGTTCGTTGGGATTATTATTTCTGAATTTGTATGTATTCTGCGGACAGTGCTTTTAAAGAGAATCCACATCCTGATGAAAAAGCAAGACTAGAACTTGGTAAGAGACTGACGTTGGAGAGCAGGCAGGTGAAGTTTTGGTTCCAAAATAGAAGAACCCAAATGAAGGTAAATGCTGCATTTGCTTTATTTTCTTTAAATAATTATGCACTTGTGTGAGATTGGTCTCAATGATGATTAAAAGTGAAACTAATGTTGTTGTTTCAGACCCAATTGGAACGCCACGAAAATGCAATCTTGAAGCAAGAAAATGATAAGCTTCGGATAGAGAACATAGCAATGAAGGAAGCCATGAGAAGCCCAATGTGCGGCCATTGTGGTGGTCAGGCAATTCTTGGTGAGATACACATTGAAGAGCATCATTTAAGGATTGAGAATGCTCGGCTGAGAGATGAACTTAATAGGATCTGTGTCCTGGCGAACAAGTTTTTGGGCAGGCCTTTGGGATCTTTTCCTGGTACAATGCCACCTGGAATGGCTAATTCTGGTTTGGAGCTTGCGGTGGGAAGAAATGGCTTTGGTGCTATGAACTCTGTTGACACTGCATTGCCAATGGGGCTTGATTTTGGCAATGGTCTCTCAAGTCCTCTAACAATGATGTCCCCTAGGCCCACCCCAAGCATGACTAGTACAGATGTATCCTTTGATAAGTCCATGTTAATGGAGCTTGCGTTTGCTGCGATGAATGAGCTTCTTAAGCTGGCTGAGATTGGTGATCCTCTGTGGTTTAGAAACTTTGATGGAAGTGGGGAAGCATTGAGCCTTGAGGAGTATGCTAGGTCCTTTCCTCCATGTATTGGCATGAAACCGTCCAACTTTACAACAGAAGCAACAAAGGCAACTGGTACAGTGATGATCAACAGTCTGGCCTTGGTGGAGACTCTGATGGATACAGTAGGTTCCGTCATCCTTATTCCAGTCCAGTGCCTTCGACCCGTTGTTGAATGTGAACATGGTTATCCAATTTGCTTCTTGAAATACGAATTTCCTTTTTATTTAAAGGGTATGCCATTAATGGCTGCCATGTTCTTTTGAGTAAAATAACCTTATCACTTTTTAGTAGAGAAAACAGGCATATTGTTGGTTTTCTTTTGTCTTGATTTCCATGTAATATGCAAGTTCCATTGATGCAGAGTCGATGGGTGGATATGTTCTCATGCATTGTTGGAAGAACCTCTACAATTGATGTGATTTCCAGCAGCGCAAGTGGAAGCAGGAATGGCAATCTGCAATTGGTACGTTCTTTTCATTTTTTTGTTAGAAGGCACTGATCCTATGTTTCTTTTCTTGTAATAGAGCTTTGAAATTTGCAGATCCAAGCTGAGTTCCAAGTTCTTTCTGCTTTAGTTCCTGTCCGTCAAGTAAAGTTTCTCCGCTTCTGCAAGCAACACGCTGAAGGCGTTTGGGCTGTGGTGGATGTGTCCATTGACGCAATCCAAGAAGGTTCCCAACCACGTGAAGCTGGAAATTGCAGGAGGCTCCCTTCTGGATGTATTGTGCAAGACTTGCCTAATGGTTACTCCAAGGTAATTTTTAATTAGTCCTTATATGTTTTCCATTTAGCATTTCACACAAGGCTCCATAAGTTGCTGACAAGCTAGGTGTTTGGACTTATCTTTTGTTGTTGCTTTGTGTATTTATTTGTTTATTTATTCTTAATGAAGGTCTATCTTGTCATTTTGTGTGCACAGTTCTTTTAAATACAACTGCTTCATTCTACTTTTTGTGATGTTGATTTTCTTGACCTTTGCTTCCGAAATATATTTTATTCTCAGCATCTTTTGGAAATGCTGTCAATAAAATAATTTGACAGTTGTAGCCTAAGAATCTGAACCTTCTAATGTTATTTAATTCTGTAGATGCTTCTGTATTCTGTAGTATATAAGTATTATGTTATCATCAAGTTCAAGGCTAGGATTTTTCGTGTTTGCTTGATCAGGCTTCTGCCAGATTAGGAAACGGGTAAATCGAGGATATCAACCTTATAATATTTCTAGATGCCTCAAGTACTTTTTCTGTGCCTTGAACTTGTAAATCTACGATCATTGTATGAAGGCAAAGCCTCGGTAGTTTCATCCTTACTGTATAATCTATATGTACAAGTGAGTGTGATGCTCCGCTTCCCCCCTCCCCTTCCCTTCCACGTGCTTGTGAACCTATGCTTGCGCATCGTCCACTTGTTACCACTAGTGTTATTTGACCTCCAATATATACTTGTAGTGTACTCTTTCAGTCTAGAAATTAAAATAATTATGCAGTTTGTGTAATATATTTTGCATTTTCTAATCTATCCTCTTATTCTCTAATCTCTTCATTTTCTTGCAAAAACATATTTTTTTTTACCTTTTTCACTCATTTATGCTTTCTTTTGCACCCTCTTAAACAATTAAAAAAAGGAGCAACACTAGTCATTTCCCTACAAAACCATAAGAGCTCATTTTTCTGGACAAATTGTTGGACCCTAACTAAAAGTAGGTGTTTGTGCCTTACGATGCATATACCTTCTACTGCAGCCTCGAGGTGTTAAGTGCACTTCGACCATGCTTCAATTAAGCCATTCAAACTATTGAACGTGACTATCTGTGGAGCAAAATAGTAAAAATTTGGCTAACCTTTCTTGGAAGTTTGATTTGGTGTGAACTTTTATCTGTTACTCTAATTTATTTCCATATGTGAAAACAAAATATTCCAGTCTTTGACTGCGAGGACAATTGATAGTTTGTGCCGGTAATAATTTGGGTCTTTTCCTTCATAGTGCTTTGTAAGCCAAACTATTGTTTGCTAAAAGTTTGTTTTCTCATTTATGACATTCTTATTATTCCCTTCTTCCAAACAAGAACGGCAAAATTCAAAGTGTCAGTGCATCTAAGTTTGCTTTTGATTCGGACATGGATTTCTTGTACCTTTTTGAAATAAATATTTCATATTTATAAACTATCTAGGTCCTGTAAAACAATTTTTTTAGTTGAAATTTTTAGAAAAAGGAAGTCATGGAGTAGTTAAAGAATTTTTGTTTATGATTCTATAAATAGTAATAGTTTGATTTCATTACGTTTACTCGATGTGCTCCTCCCATGGTTTGGATTTGTTTTGGGCTCATGCTCACTGCTACCGGGAATGTGCAGGAAGATTTTCCACAAATTTTGACCTACTGCATGTGAGATTAGGTTCAGGATAATTTTCATAGTACCTTCCTATTTTACCAATAGATTTTCAGCTTATTTTCTGTGTGAAGGAATATGTTATATAGTTTTACAAGGAAATAAGAGATTAGTGGTAAATGTTAAAAAAAGAAAGCAGATGATAGGATTCAGATGAAAGGGAGCATTCATTAGGGGTGCAAACATTAAAAACTCACGTTTTTTCGAAAAAGAGGAAATTGTGAAGCAGATCATAGAAGAGGATAAGCAAATCGCAAAATGACGCATACATATGGTTAGGAGGTGCAGCTAACTCTTTGAGTATCTGACTATACTTAATTTATCTAGAAGGAGAAAGAGAAACTTTTCATTGACTTTTGGGAATACATCTATTATGTAATTAATTCAGAGGCGGTCTTTCCTAAATTATTTTGCTTGACCTTCTACTTTTCCATGGAGTACTTATTTGCAATTCTTTTATTCTCTAATTCCAACTTCACGCAAACCAATATTTAATGGATGCACAGATCAATCTATGATCTTTTTGAAGAATATAACCCTTTATTTGTCTCAATTTGCTGGTTAAGCTACATAGGTTGCCTCCACAGACCACTGGATGATTCATGTCCAAAGCTATCTTCATTTACTCAATTTTTATGTGTGTAAAACTGCTAGCAAAATATTAACAGGAATTTTCAGGTTATTTGGATTGAGCACATGGAATATGATGAGAATACCATCCACAATTTCTACCGCCCTTTCATCAGGTCTGGCCGGGGCTTTGGTGCCCAGCGGTGGATTGCCACCCTGCAAAGGCAATGTGAGTGCTTAGCAGTCATCACATCTTCCGCTGTACCCAGTGGCGATGGCGCAGGTACCGCGTCATATTTTTCATTTGAAACACTTAAACCTTGAAATGATAATGGGTTCTTATGGAGTTTCATTATTAGCAGTTGTTAGTCCCAGTGGTCGGAGAAGTATTGCAATGCTGGCTCGACGCATTACTCGCAATTTCTGTGGTGGGGTTTGCGCAACTTTTTACAAGTGGGAACCAATCCAAACAGGGACCGCAGAAGATACTAAGTTGATGATGAGGAAGAGCATTGGTGACCCCGGTGAGCCTCCTGGTATCGTGTTGAGTGCCACCAGGACCATCTGGCTGCCGGTGACACATCAACGTTTGTTTGACTTCCTGCGAAATGAACAAACTAGGAGTCAATGGGATGTCTTGTCCCATGGTGGTCCCATGCACCAAATAGTCCACATTGCCAAGGGTCAGGATCTTGGCAATAGCATCTCTCTCTTTCGTGCTAATGTGAGTTATAAACTAGTGGCTTTTTATTTTGGAAATGTGGCACAAAACTACACAACTTAGTGCACTTACTTTTAACCATTGATCTCTGAATAAATTTTGGCTTGCCTTGCAGGCGGCTGCCAGCGATGCTAATCAAAATAGTATGTTGATCTTGCAAGACTCATGCACGGATGTATCTGGTTCAATTGTAGCATATGCAGCAGTTGATACTGCAGAAATGAATGTCGTGATGAGTGGTGGAGATTCTTCCTGCGTGGCTTTCCTGCCATCTGGATTTGCAATAGTTCCAGATTGTTTTCAAAATTCTAACAACGGAATGCTTGAAAAAGAGGACAATGGAGGTAGCAGTAACGGGTCTTTGTTGACGTTGGGATTCCAAATATTGGTGAATAGCTTGCCTGCAGCAAAGCTCACTATGGAGTCTGTCAACACCGTTAATGCCCTCATCTCACGTACACTTCAGGGCATAAAAACTGCTTTCCAGTGCAATTAATCCGAAGCCAAATTGGTACTATTGGTTAGTTGCATTCCAAGGTTTTGGTCTTTTGTCTTTTTGGGGTTTAACTTTAAAAGTTATATGTCCGAGAATTAACGTGCAACCAAGTGCAGTGCATGTTAAGACTCTAAATGTACAAGGTGATAGAAATGTGGGTTTGAGTCAAGAACGAACCGAGGTGGTTCCTCGTGACTACAATTGCATGATTTTTCAGCTTTTTGTCAAGGCAGCGAGGAGATTGGTGGTTCGGGTATTGACTCTGGTGCCCCATTAATATAAATTGTGTGCTGTTCTATAGCTGTGTGTTTTATCTCTTGTTGAAAAGATGTTTTCGTATGTTCTTTTGGGTGATATATGGTGTAATCACACTCTAAAGCTAATTTGTATGGTGTAATGTGTTGCTTTATATTGATTCCATTGCAAGTCTATTCATATGCCCCTATTTGCGTATGCTGGCTGTAGTGATATATAATTTGTATAGTACTAATATCCCAGTTTGATTGTTTGTTTCTAGTAGAAACTATTACTGATAAATTAAAGCAGTTGCCGATATCAATAGTTTAGTATTCTTGAGAAATAGTGCAAGTATATGTGACTTTCGTGTTGCGGAGAAGTATTATAATAGAGGATAAAGTTGTGAACGAATAAAACTGTATGAGAACTATTTTGATGTGTCAAACAAGTTCATTCAGAATTGATAAATGCACTAGTATTATTAGGTCTGTCTCCATTTATTATTGATATTCTTCTACGTGAAATTAATGGGATCTTTAATCCATAGTTTTCCAAAGAAAACAAGATAGGCGAATTGGATTTTAACCCATTCTTTAATTTCCCAAAAATAAAAAAATGACTCAAAATGGTTCTTACCCTGGTCACCCAACGACTCCAAGTCTCTGGCTATTCACATTCTTGTGCAGCAGTAATATTTTAAACCTTTTCCTAACCGACGGAAAGGATTACAAGCGAGTTTCACGTGTGATTTTATTTGTTGCTGCATATATATATATAGCGAAAAGTAGGTTTTATGCATGGGAACAAATAGGAGATATGGTAGGGTAGTATGTAGTGCCAGACCAGAGACACCTTTGTTAAGTAGTGCTGTTTCCACAAAAATATCCATTGTAATGTAATGGAGAATTTGGAGATGGTACCATCCACCAACCAAGTACAGAGTTATTTAAGGCTTGTAACATGGATGCATTATGGAATTTGTCTGCTATTCTAACACGCCAAAATGACCACTCTTAAATGTTGAAAGAGGAGTTTTTAGCGTTTGCTCTACATATTTTTGGTTCTTAATTAGGTGACATGCGGCTTCATTTCTAACTTATAATATTATAGGTCGAATGTCCAAATCATGTAGGAAGTAAAAATGACCTCTTTATTTTATTGCATCTACTTTATGCAGCAACTCTACACGGACTAATTTAGCGAGTCTTTAATTTTACGAGAAGCACAAAAAATGATCCAAAAGCAAAAATATAACTACTACATCTGTTATATATAAGTTGAGAATGCCGAGTCTTGAGGTCATGACGTGTTTCTTTTTTCTTTTTCTTTTTTGGGACGACGACTTCCCGGAGTATGATTTTTGGCTTCGGCCTCCGAGGTGTTAAGTTTTGGATTTCCATAATTTTCGAATACCTGTGCTCCAAGATTTTGGAAGGGACAATGATAGGACTTTGTAGGCCATTGTTTAGATTTTGTCCAAATTTTAGAAGTTACGCAAATATAGCTGTTTACCCTAAAATTGGATAACAATTGAATTTATACACGGTTTTAAGGATACATGATATAACATGGTACAAATTGAGGAGAATAAATTCAGTATTGAAATATACGATAAAAGAATAAATGCAAACTACACGAATTGAACAGCCTTGGCCCTCGAGTTCAGTCACCCTTGCACCAAATATGTTTCAACTTGCTTATGAACAAAATAACAAGATAATGAAAGCTAGAAAATGACAGTATATTGCTTAGTATTGCGTGAATATGATGTGTTTTACAAATGATTAGACCCCCCTTTATATAGTAGGGGAGTTCTACTTTAGATACAATTCTATATGAGGTAAGAAATCCCTTGATTGGCTAATTAATTGGCCTCTTCTTGATACGTGCCGGGATCCGCGCTGTGATCCTCGCCTGATTGCGGATATTTTGACTTTTCGTATTTGGCTCGGTACGCTTCCTTTGTTCTCTATCTTGTTCGGTCTCGATCTTGGTCGACCTCGATCTTGATCGGTCTCAGGGCCACGAGCTCGGCAACCTAACTTTGCATCATGGTTAGATATAACTCGAGGCTGAACCTTGGCCGATCATGTTCTGGTCTCGATAAATCATACAAAAGGACAAACCCGATTTTAACCGTATATATTTAGTCCCTTCGTTTCTCGGAGAGAAGATGACGAGAAACAATATGAACTTTTCCAATCCCGTCTCGATGTTCCATGAAGTAAGTGACGAGCTCGACTATGATGTCAGCGACAAGTGGATACTGAAACGTCCTGTCGGTTCGGTTACCGAGGCATTAAATGCCTGTCAGTTGCTGGTCGGCCACCATCGGTTCTGGACCGCCACCAGCAAGCTATAAGTACCGCCACCTTCTTCCCCTCAAACTTTACGCTAAAAGGTTTCCTCATTGTTGCTTCTCTTCAAAAATCTCTTTGTGTTGCAACTCTTGCTCCCAAATCTCTTGAATCTTAAGCAAACCGCATATCATCCTACTTCCCTTCTCTTGTACTTTATAATGGCAAAAACTTCTAAAACCGTACCGCAAAAGACGGCCGCCTCTTCTTCACGGCCCGCCGGCGACGGAGCTACGGTGGAATATCCCCTTGAGGATTTCGTTTCGGGAAGGTGCCCTACCGTCCCCAATTTTAGGATTGAAAAGACCTCCTTAGTACCTGGTCGATGTGAAGCGGTCTCGAGGTATATATATGCTCGATAACCGATGATCTTCTTGACAAAGTTAAAGAGGAGTGCTACTGGGTCAATAAACATGTTGTGGTACCTCCGCCCGGGAGTCGATCACTACCCATGTAGAGGGTTTCCTAAGTGTTTACACTTACCCTTTCACGTTGGGTCTCTTAGACCCTATCATCGTCACCTTCTGCAAGAGGTATGACATGACCCTCGGCCAGATCTATCCTTCCTTCTGGAGAACAGTGATTCTCCTCCGATTCTTCGTGAGCAAAATCGAGGGATGTCCTTTCACCCTCGATCACCTTATGCGCCTTTATAGCCCCTGACTTTATCGAGGAGGGTTGATCAAGCTTGCTCACCGGGCCGTCAAGGCCCGTTCTCGAGAATAGACAAAGCTTGCGATCGAGGTTGGATGAGCCGATTTGTCTGAATAAGGACTTCGGACCTGATCCCTGCTGAAGACATGCCGTTTCCTGAGAAATGGAACATGAACCGTGAGCAGTACTTTGCCTTCTTAATTTTGCTGTTTTACCTCTTATCTTCTTTCCTCATCTATATTTTTTGGTGTTGCAGCTGTGGCCCATGTGCCCGAGGTAGTCTCCGATCTCAAGCAATGGGTCGAGGGCCTGGTGTCGTAGAGACCATACTCCGAGCGTGCTTGGATGGAGTTATCAAAGGGTCGATCGGAGGCCCGTAATTATGGTAATTTTCTTTCTCAGAATGGTTATCGTTTGGGGATTCTTTTTGAGCTTACACGTCTTTTTTCCTTTATAGGACTCGGGAAAGATGTAGCAATGAGGCCCCCACCCGAGGGAGAAGAAGTCCTTTCCCAGTCACCTGCTCCGAAGCAAGCTAAAGAGAAGAAAAGAAAAGGGGCTACGAGTTCCCCGAACTCGAAAAGGCAAAAGCCAAAGAAGAGGCAAGCTCGTAAGCACAAGGGGAGCCCCATCGCTCTATCCTTGGACTCAGTCCGTCAACTAAGGGATGAGTCCGAAGAAGAAGAAGAAGAAGAAGAAGAAGAAGAAGAAGAAGAAGAAGAAGAAGAAGAAGATAATTCCAGGCTGGTGGCCTGTGTGCGGGCTGGTGCTTCGATACAAAAGCCCTCCGAACCGAAGGAGGTTGACGAGAGAGCTTCGGTCGAGGTTCCTAAGCCAGAAGGAGTTGAGGCCACTCCGTCCCAAGCTGAGATGGTCGAGGGAGAAACCGGGGGCGAGGCTTTCCGAGTAACTAAAGATGTCACGAGGGACGATCTCGGAATGATTGAAAATTTTGAATCCCCTCATTTTTCGGATGCCATGATTCGTGAGGCCAATATGTTGGAAGGTCGCTCTAGTGAGGTTCCTCAGGGGGTGGTTGATATCCACGACTTCTTGGATGGGGTAGAGTTTGCCGCATTGGGAGATGTCACCGGGCTTGGTGACTTACCAGTGCCAAAGAAAGCACTGTCATCGGACGCTACTAGGTCTTCATCGAGCCCAAAACTGGTGGACCGATTCCCTGCCCCAAGTGTTAACCCCGATCGCAGGCATAATATAATGTTTTCTATCCCGGAGGATGCTCGGGTTTTCTCTCCCCCCGTCGGGATTGCTAGCTACCTCAGATGCTTGGTGACCGAGGAAGCCCAAGCCGCGATAAATGCGGTGGGAGCCGCTTGCCTGTTCAACGAGGCCCAGCATGCTCTGAATCGGGTAACTTCGAGGGCCATTCCATTATCTCTTTTAAACTTGGAGTTGTAGGTAACTCTAACATCTTCTTCCTTGCTTGTACGCTTCTATGTTGCATCACGAGGCTTTCCTTCGAATCCGGGAGGACCGCGAGGCTGAGGTTCGGGACCTCACTGAGAAAAATGACACCTACAAGCTTCTCAGTGATAAACTTCAGGCAGATTTAGTGACAGCTCGGGATGAGCATGCTGAGATGGCCGAACAGGTATTCCCAGTGCTTCATGATAGTGAAGACGAATTGGAGATAACAACTAACGATCCAATTCTGCAGGTCCGGCAGAGGCTCGAACAGATCGGGGAGCTTCAGAAACAAGTAGAGACAATTCGAGCTGAGGCTGAGGAGTTCAAGAAAAATATGGACATCTTAGCCTCAAAAAGGGAAGCTGCCCAAACACAACTGGAGTCAGCCGAGATCCAGCTTCGAGCTGCAAGAGAGAAAGCCTAGGTGCAAGCCAAGAAAATCGAGGATCTTCAGTTCACATTAGCAAACTTGTCCAATGAGCTCGAGGCGGCTAATTCTGAGGTAGCCGCGGTCAATACCAAGGTCCAAGCTAATGTGACCCTATACAAGGTCGATATCGAGGCCATCTAGGCATAGGCCAAAAGCATGGTGGATCATGCAAAGTGGCAAGCTCGAAGGGAAGCCCTCGAGGGAGTCCATGCTCAGGGCTTTGATATACTGGCTGAGCTCGAGAACGCCAAAGCAGAGGAAGCCAGGGCTCGAAAGCTGGCCTTTCCCGAAGAAGACTCAGATAATTTAAGTGAGTCTGAAGG